GAAAAGTCAAATCTGACAAAAGCTGTATCCTTTCTAGTCAAAACCCAGTAACAGTTCTCTGTGATCTCCTCTAGAGAACTTGTCAGGACAAGAAGAATATGGAAGAAGAATGTCCTTCCTTCCTTTTGCTCAGCCACTGTTCCATGAGTCTTGGAGTTACAGTAGATCGTAGTACTAGTAAATGCACTCAAGGACCAAAAAAGTCTAAACGTTTCAATCACTGCTAGTGGATGGATCATGGCCTTTATGGGGGAAACTTAGAGGAAGTGAAGCTATTGAATTCAAAGAATGAAACAATAGTATAACAACTATGATGTCTAATCAGTATGAAAAATGTATGCACTCACTAACTGTAAGTCGCTCTGGATAAGAGCGTCTGCTAAAATGACTAAAATGTAAAATGTAATCTTTTGGCATGTATCCAGGCTAAAATAACCATCTTAGTGATCGGAAAGTTTAGTTTTTTCAGTGACTCCTTGAGCGCGAAATGAAATGCATATTAACTACACACCACAGAAAAAGAAAGACTAGTCAGCTGAATAAAAGAAAGCTAAAGGAAAGAATAGACAGGAGGATAGAGACCGACGTTTCATTTACCACGCTCTAGCTTCATATCTGAGAACCGTGAGCAGTGAAAAGGTGGACGGGGAAAGGAGGGGTAGAGTGGTGGTGAGGAGAAAGACAAAGAGAGAGAGAGAGCCGCGGTGAGTCCAGTGGCTAGAACACTCAAAGCCGTCGTCAGGGATACATGTACAGGTTCTATATAAAACATTCTAAGCACAGTGATTTGTAGAACAGCACCTTTATGAATCTCATACGGATTCCGCCTACTTCAGGACAGCCCACACATACAGTAAATAAATACACACTAACACAAACTGTGACTGCGGTAAACACCTGCAGGCAGTAGAAAGTACAGTGATTCACAGCGAGTAGCTACCCTGTAACTATCCTAGCAAGAGATCCGTTTGTGCTGTAGCCAACTCATCTGTGGACATGTCATCAACAGTCTGGCAGTGTAGTGAGAGGGGATCTGTTCCATTGAGCTGTTGGGGTGTCAGAGATATCTATCCTGGTGGTTGGGGTGTCAGAGCTATCTATCCTGGTGGTTGGGGTGTCAGAGCTATCTATCCTGGTGGTTGGGGTGTCAGAGCTATCTATCCTGGTGGTTGGGGTGTCAGAGCTATCTATCCTGGTGGTTGGGGTGTCAGAGATATCTATCCTGGTGGTTGGGGTGTCAGAGCTATCTATCCTGGTGGTTGGGGTGTCAGAGATATCTATCCTGGTGGTTGGGGTGTCAGAGCTATCTATCCTGGTGGTTGGGGTGTCAGAGCTATCTATCCTGGTGGTTGGGGTGTCAGAGCTATCTATCTGGTGGTTGGGGTGTCAGAGATATCTATCCTGGTGGTTGGGGTGTTCCAGAGCTATTATCCTGGTGTTGGGTCCAGAGCTATCTATCCTGGTGGTTTGGGGTTGTCAGAGCTATCTATCCTGGTGGTTGGGTGTCAGAGCTATATCACTGGTGGTTGGGGTGTCAGAGATATCTATCCTGGTGGTTGGGGTGTTATCACCATACTCACTTGTCCCTCCTCTGACACCATCCCCAGCCTCAGCCTTGTTCTGTCTCTCAAAGGCATTCAGGTCTAGAACGCTGCCAACAAACACACGTTAGAATCATTAACACACACACACATTAGAATCATTAACACACACACACACACATACACACACACACACACACTAGAATCATTAACACACTAACATTAGAATCATTAACACACACACACACACTAGAATCACTAACACACACACACACACAACACTAGAATCACTAACACACACACACTAGAATCACTAACACACACATTAGAATCATTAACACACACATTAGAATCATTAACAGACACACATTAGAACCATTAACACACACACACACAACATTCCAAACTGATTAACAGCATACACCCATTAGCATCATACAACACACATAGATCATTACACAACTTAATCATAACAGACCAACCTAGACCGTACAACACCACACACTAATGTATAACTGACTTACCGCAGGCTCATAGAGGCTATACAGAAGAAGCCACATCCAATGCTTCAGTTACCGATACTCAGGATCCCTACAATAATAGAGACAGAGCTGCACAGGGACAGAATCAGGAAGACAGCCACATCGTCTAGGAGACAGCCTAAGACATAGAACAGAGAGACAGGAAAAGAGACAGAAACAGAGCAGGAGACAGGAGGAAGACAGGAGACAGAGACAGAGAGAGACAGGAAGACAGGAAGACAGGAACAGAGAGACAGAGGAAGACAGAGGACAGAGAACGAGAGACAGGGAGACAAGAGAAACAGAGACAGAGAAACAGAGACAGAAGACAGAGCAGACGGGAGAGACAGAGAGACAGAGAGACAGGGCGAACAGAGAGACAGAAGCCAGAGAGACAGAGAGACAGGAAAGAGAGAGACAGAAGACAGAGAGACAGGAAGACAGAGAACAGAGAGACAGGAGACAGGAGACAGCGAGACAGGGAGACAGGCGAAGAGAACAGGAAGCCAGAGAGCAGAGAGACAGAGAGACAGAGAGACAGGAACAGGAGCCAGAGAGGACAGTAAGACAGACAGACAGGAAGCCAGAGAGACAGGGAAACAGGGAGACAGCGAGACAGTGAGACAGGGAGACAGAGAGACAGGGAGTCAGAGAGAGAGAGAGACAGGAAGATAGAGAGACCGGAAGACAGAGAGACAGGAAGACAGAGAGACAGAGACAGGAAGACAGGAAGCCAGAGAGACAGGGAGTCAGAGAGACAGGAAGACAGAGAGACAGGAAAACAGAGAGACAGAGAGACAGGAAGACAGGAAGACAGAGAGACAGGGAGTCAGAGAGAGAGAGAGACAGGAAGATAGATAGACCGGAAGACAGAGAGAAAGGAAGACAGAGAGACAGGAGACAGAAGAACAGAAGCCAGCGAAGGACAAGGGAGTCAAGGAGACAGGAAGTCAGAGAGACAGGAAAACAGACAGAGCGACAGAGAGAAGGAAGACAGGAAGCCAGAGAGACCGGAAGACAGAGAGACAGAGAGACAGGAAGACAGAGAGACAGGAAGACAGGAAGCCATCATCAATCTAATACAGCCATACTCAACAGGCAGACAAAAAATATAGAAATATATTTTAGATATTGTTTTAACTGCTACATTTTCAATTTTCTCCATGGATTAATGTGTAGAATTGCAGGAAATGAGCTTTAACCTGTTAAACTCTGAGCGGTTGTTTTGGAGCTTAAGTGTTACCCACTCTGTCAATTTCAGTCAGAAAACAGAAAGTGACATATCATTCAAAAGCTACAGAACTCAAATCTTACTGCTGGCGATGTCATAATAATGCCCCCCGCTACCCCCCATCACCCCCCCCCCCCCCCCCCCCTTCAGGCCATAAATTATGCGCTATGGTCATATTCATAGAGTATTCAATTTAAGTCAAGTCACCAAAAGTGCTAAAATGTTGTATGCACGGAAAGGGTACCCCCCGGTGGTCATTATAATGCACTGCATCCACATTTAATATGACATTACCTCGAATGCATCCTCCAAATGCACCGTTCTATCTCACTCATTTCCAACGGGAAAAATGAATGGGAAAAGAGGTTGGAAGTTTCCTTGCCTGTATGTGTGTTAAAAAAAAACGTGATAACTCCAAAGTACTGATCGCTAGGGTCATTTTAAGATGTCAGTATTGAAAATCCTTTCAGCCATTTTCCCAAACCAGATACATTTTGTTGTTTTTGGGTTTTTTCTCCATTTTCTTTGCCTGTGGTTGCTCGCTCTGAAATATCCACGTTGTTTCTGATACCTGTATCAGAATCCCACAGTTCTTACCTTTCTAACGAAGCATGTTGGTAGGACTTAGGATAGTTTTGAAATCTAAAATGTAATTTGAAGGTAGTTTACATTTTCTGCATCGCTTAGAAAATGCCTCCAGAGGACGACAGAGTTTAACAGGTTCTCCGCCAGCAAGTGGGGTGTGAACACGTTGAACAGTTTTGAGTGGGTTGGGAGGTGGGGGTTTGTTACTATGCCGGAAAAATACAATATCCATCTGGACCTTTCCCACCTGGGACAAGTATTCAGGCCCCTAGACTTTTTCCACATTTTGTTACGTTACAGCCTTATTCTAAAATTGATTAAATTATTTTAAACCTGGCACCATCCCTACGGCGAAGCATGGCGGTGGCAGCATCATGCTGTGGGGATGTTTTTCAGCGGCAGGGACTGGGAGACTAGTCAGGATCGAGGGGAAAGATGAACGGAGCAAAGTACACAGAGATACTTGATGAAAACTTGCTCCACAGCGCTCAGGACCTCAGACTGTGGCGAAGCTTCACCTTCCAACGGGACAATGACTAACCACACATCCAAGACAACACAGGAGTGGCTTCAGGACAAGTCTCTGAATGTCCTTGAGTGGCCCAGCCAGAGCCCGGACTTGAACCTGATCGAACATCTCTGGAGAGACCTAAAAAAATTGCTGTGCAGCAACGCTCCCCATCCAACCTGACAGAGCTTGAGAGGATCTGCAGAGAAGAATGGGAGAAACTCCCCAAATACAGGTGTGCCAAGCTTGTAGTGTCATACCCAAGAACACTCAAGGCTGTAATCACTGCCAAAGGTGCTTCAACAACGTACTGAGTAAAGGGTCTGAATACTTATGTAAATGTGATGTTTCCGTTTTTGTATTTTTATACATTTGCAAAAATGTATAAAAACCAGTTTTTGCTTTGTCATTATGGGGTATTGTGTGTAGATTGATGAGGGGGAACAAGACTATTTAATCCATTCTAGAATAAGGCTGTAACTAACAAAATGTGGAAAAAGTCAAAGGGTCTGAATACTTTCCGAATGCGCTGTATATGACCGGACCTTCTGAAATAGTAGTTCATTACCCCTGGTCTAGTCCAACAGAGGTAGTTTTAGAGTTAAAGTTGGTTAGGATGAGTTGTACAACAGGGGTAGGAGTGCAGCAGCTACTCCAGCTTTTTGCTTTCGATTGACCAGGTAAACCAGGTAGATGACAGAACTTACCTGTTGTACGTCACAGTTGCCTGTGTTGAGGATTGAGATCCCCAGCTTGAGGGTGGAGCACACCATGGATCCCGTCTCACCTGAGAGACACACACACACACACATATCAGCTTGAGGGTGGAGGACACCATGGACCCCCGTCTTACCTGAGACATTGAGATCAAATGTAGCGTACACACTGCCAACAACCCTCTAATGTAGTGTACACACTGCCAACAACCCTCTAATGTAGTGTACACACTGCCAACAACCCTCTAATGTAGTGTACACACTGCCAACAACCCTCTAATGTAGTGTACACACTGCCAACAACCCTCTAATGTAGTGTACACACTGCCAACAACCCTCTAATGTAGTGTACACACTGCCAACAACCCTCTAATGTAGTGTACACACTGCCAACAACCCTCTAATGTAGTGTACACACTGCCAACAACCCTCTAATGTAGTGTACACACTGCCAACAATCCTCAACAGGTCCAAAGTACTGTTAGTATCATCATTATCTTTACAAACAGGTGCTGATAAAACTCTGGGACTCTGTTGATGAAACTCTGGGACTCTGTTGATGAAACTCTGGGACTCTGTTGATGAAACTCTGGGACTCTGTTGATGAAACTCTGGGACTCTGTTGATGAAACTCTGGGACTCTGTTGATGAAACTCTGGGTAAGTGGGTCTGTCCTGGGTCTGGTCTGGGTGTGGGTCTGGTCTGGGTAAGTGGTGTGTGTGTGTGTCTGGGTCTGGGCCCTGTACCTCTGCAGGCACTGATCATCTGCAGCACCATCTCTGCAGCTCCTCTGTTGTGGAGACGGGACTGCTGGTACAGGAGCCTCTGCTTCTCCATCTCTTTCTCCTGAAGGACAGACAGAGACAGAGAGACAGACAGGAGGGAAGTTGTAACTCTGTCGACCAGGTCTGCATGGACACACACACATTCACATACGTCCTCTTCCATTAAGACACAGAGTGTATTAGTGATAGAGTAGTTATTATCATTCTACAGCTCTAGTGATAGTAGTTATTATCATTCTACAGGTCTAGTGATAGTAGTTATTATCATTCTACAGTTCTAGTGATAGTAGTTATTATCATTCTACAGATCTAGTGATAGTATTTATTATCATTCTACAGCTCTACTGATAGTAGTTATTATCATTCTACAGCTCTAGTGATAGTAGTTATTATCATTCTACAGCTCTAGTGATAGTAGTTATTATCATTCTACAGCTCTAGTGATAGTAGTTATTATCATTCTACAGCTCTACTGATAGTAGTTATTATCATTCTACAGCTCTAGTGATAGTAGTTATTATCATTCTACAGCTCTAGTGATAGTAGTTATTATCATTCTACAGGTCTAGTGATAGTAGTTATTATCATTCTACAGCTCTAGTGATAGTAGTTATTATCGTTCTACAGCTCTAGTGATAGTAGTTATTATCATTCTACAGTTCTAGTGATAGTAGTTATTATCATTCTACAGATCTAGTGATAGTATTTATTATCATTCTACAGATCTAGTGATAGTAGTTATTATCATTCTACAGGTCTAATGATAGTAGTTATTATCATTCTACAGATCTAGTGATAGTAGTAATTATCATTCTACAGGTCTAGTGATATTAGTTATTATCATTCTACAGATCTAGTGATAGTAGTTATTATCATTCTACAGCTCTAGTGATAGTAGTTATTTCATTCTACAGGTCTAGTGATGGTAGTTATTATCATTCTACAGGTCTAGTGATAGTAGATATTTCATCCTACAGGTCTAGTGATAGTAGTTATTATCATTCTACAGATCTAGTGATAGTAGTTATTATCATTCTACAGCTCTACTGATAGTAGTTATTATCATTCTACAGCTCTAGTGATAGTAGTTATTATCATTCTACAGCTCTAGTGATAGTAGTTATTATCATTCTACAGCTCTAGTGATAGTTGTTATTATCATTCTACAGGTCTAGTGATAATAGTTATTATCATTCTACAGCTCTAGTGATAGTAGTTATTATCATTCTACAGCTCTAGTGATAGTAGTTATTATCATTCTACAGGTCTAGTGATAGTAGTTATTATCATTCTACAAGCTCTAGTGATAGTAGTTATTATCATTCTAACAGCTCTAGTGATAGTAGTTATTATCATTCTACAGGTCTAGTGATAGTAGTTATCATTCTACAGCTCTAGTGATAGTAGTTATTATCATTCTACAGCTCTAGTGATAGTAGTTATTATCATTCTACAGCTCTAGTGATAGTAGTTATTATCATTCTACAGCTCTAGTGATAGTAGTTATTATCATTCTACAGGTCTAGTGATAGTAGTTATTATCATTCTACAGCTCTAGTGATAGTAGTTATTATCATTCTACAGCTCTAGTGATAGTAGTTATTATCATTCTACAGGTCTAGTGATAGTAGTTATTATCATTCTACAGCTCTAGTGATAGTAGTTATTATCATTCTACAGCTCTAGTGATAGTAGTTATTATCATTCTACAGGTCTAGTGATAGTAGTTATCATTCTACAGATCTAGTGATAGTAGTTATTATCATTCTACAGCTCTAGTGATAGTAGTTATTATCATTCTACAGCTCTAGTGATAGTAGTTATTATCATTCTACCAGCTCTAGTGATAGTAGTTTATTATCATTCTACAGCTCTAGTGATAGTAGTTATTATCATTCTACAGCTCTAGTGATAGTAGTTATTATCATTCTAACAGCTCTAGTGATAGTAGTTATTATCATTCTACAGCTCTAGTGATAGTAGTTATTATCATTCTACAGCTCTACTGATAGTAGTTATTATCATTCTAACAGCTCTAGTGATAGTAGTTATTATCATTCTACAGCTCTAGTGATAGTAGTTATTATCATTCTACAGCTCTAGTGATAGTAGTTATCATTCTACAGCTCTAGTGATAGCAGTTATTATCATTCTACAGCTCTAGTGATAGTAGTTATTATCATTCTACAGCTCTAGTGATAGTAGTTATTATCATTCTACAGCTCTAGTGATAGTAGTTATTATCATTCTACAGCTCTAGTGATAGTAGTTATTATCATTCTACAGCTCTAGTGATAGTAGTTATTATCATTCTACAGCTCTACTGATAGTAGTTATTATCATTCTACAGCTCTAGTGATAGTAGTTATTATCATTATACAGGTCTAGTGATAGTAATTATTATCATTCTACACCTCTAGTGATAGTAGTTATTATCATTCTACAGCTCTAGTGGTAGTAGTTATTATCATTCTACAGCTCTAGTGATAGTAGTTATTATCATTCTACAGATCTAGTGATAGTAGTTATTATCATTCTACAGGTCTAGTGATAGTAGTTATTATCATTCTACAGATCTAGTGATAGTAGTTATTATCATTCTACAGATCTAGTGATAGTAGTTATTATCATTCTACAGCTCTAGTGATATTAGTTATTATCATTCTACAGATCTAGTGATAGTAGTTATTATCATTCTACAGGTCTCGTCATGACGTTTGACTGTGCCAGCAAACATCAGTAAACACACCTGCCTGTTCTCTGTCCTATAGAGTTACATACAGTATAGTAACATACAGTACTATATAGTATATAGTATCATACAGTACTATGTAGTATGTAGTAACATACAGTACTATGTAGTATATAGTATCATACAGTACTATGTAGTAACATACAGTACTATGTAGTATGTAGTATCATACAGTACTATGTAGTATGTAGTAACATACAGTACTATGTAGTAACATACAGTACTATATAGTATATAGTATCATACAGTACTATGTAGTATATAGTATCATACAGTACTATGTAGTATATAGTATCATACAGTACTATATAGCTAGTATTTAGTAGTGTGAGGAAAATGACATTATGCGTTCTTCCAGATATCGAGCAGTATATCTGGGAGCTTCCCTTTCTGATCCTCCTCCCTATTCCGACACGCTGCAGACAGCAGGCTCTCTGATAAGAAAGGCTGGTTGATTTTGTTCATTAGAATCAAAAATCAGAGTTGTAATGTGTGATTTCCAAGATCATAAATCTTACAGAACTAATTGTTTTATTTTTTCTATGTTCCTGTTTTGTTGTCTTTCAGTGCACTCACTCAAGTCATGCAATGTATTACAGTCCAAAACAGAGACACACCACACAGCAGAGTCAAACTAAGGAATGTACAATTTAGTATTTAGATATTACCATATCAGGCTTTAGATAGACATGTCTGGTAATAGTGTGAGGGATAGAGGGATGGATAGAGAGATAGAGACTGGAAGAGAAGAGTGTGTGACACCGGGGGGTTGTGTGCGGTGTGTGAGAGAGTAACCAGCTCTGCTGCACAGCGTTGTGTCTCCCCCCCCCCCCCATACCATCTCAGTCTGGGTCACTTCAATGGCCTCCTCTTCTCCTCCCTCCTCCTCCTCACCGATGTGGCAACTCTGGAGAGAGAGGGGGAGAGAAAGAGAGAGAGGGGGAGAGAAAGAGAGAGAAGGGGAGAGAAAGAGAGAGAGAGGGGAGAGAAAGAGAGAGAGGGGAGAGAAAGAGAGAGAGAGAGAAAGAGAGAAAGAGAGAGGGGAGAAGGGAGAAGGGGGAGAGGGAGAAAGAAGGAAACAGTGAGTAAGAGAGAAATAGAAGTAGGAGAGAAGGTGAAGAATTACCAGCACGTCTAATACAACACAGCACATGAGATCATGTTCAAATCTAGTAGGAAACCAGCACGTTACCTTGGCCATAATATCAGCATAAGCCATGTATAAGTAGTCAACTTCCAGTTTGCTGCAACAAGAGAGAAAAAACAGGACAAGATTTAGCCACCAAACAAACTGAGAAACACTCAGAATAAGTGAAGGTTTGACTGCTTTACACAGAAGTCGTTGGATAAGAATCATTGTTTTGATTATTTTAGGTCAACACCACATATACTCCTCCTTCTCTCTCTGTCTCCATTTGAGTGACAGGTTGAAGAAGGGGATGAGGTGAGTGGAGAGGGGAGGGGAGGGGAGGGGAGGGGGAAGGGGGAGGGGATGGGGAGTGTAGGGGAGAGGGGTAGGGCGGGAGGGGAGGGAGGAGGGTAGAGGGGAGGGTACGGGGAGGGAGGAGTGGTTAGTGGAACTGGAGTGGAGTGCTGGAGCGTTTTTTATGTGGGGTCTGGGTTTCTTTAGTTTTCGTTTGGTCCGGAGGTGGGAGGTAGGATGCGCCTCACCTCTTCTCTGTGAGAGCGGTCCGGCTGAAGTGCAGGATGAGCTGATGCAGAGGGTCAGGTTTGGTTTCCGCCTCCTCATCTCGGCCTCTCAGGCACAGCTCCTAGCCTCCTCGGCATGGGCTCTTTTACACACCATACCACAAGACACACAGAACACAAACACAACAGCACGACACAGAGCGCTGATTTTTTTTTTAAGAAGAAGGACAGACAAGAGAACTGGGATTCAGCCAAAATCCTTACAGAAAGTTGCTGAAGACTCACAAAGATGACAATAATACAGAATATAGTGGTATACAATTACACTATCTATTCTAAGGAGAAAAGCCCTTACAGACAAGTCGTCGATCATGCGGTCTTCAAACTGGTATCCTTCAGTCTGCAGCCAGTTCCTCTTGTACCCATTCAGGAACATGTTGGAGCCCCGGTGCCTGTTAGAGAGAACAGGAAGTGACATCAAAGGAAAGTCACGCCGCAGACCAACATTATGATACACTACATATAAGAGTCAAGTCTCCTCCCCGTTGCTCCCCTCCGGCGCCCTGAGCCACCGGTCTGAGCGCACCACCTCGGCAACCCCCCGGAAATGGAAAACCCAACACACCCTAATCACCTCCAGAAGCACCTGCACCTCATCATCTCATCACCACCCCTATCCCGCCCTGGACTGTTCAGTGTTGTGTTGTGTGTGATCGTTAGTGTCATGTCGTGTACTCGCCCTTTGTTGTTCTCTTGCTCAGTGTTAAGTAAACCTTTACGTTGTTGATTCCTGCGTCTGCGTCCTGCCTCTTCGTGTCCTCAGTACAATAAGAGTATGTGGACTTCAAATGAGTGGATTCGGTTTCAGGTGTATAAAAATCAAGTGCACAGCCATGCGATCTCCATAGACAAACATTGGCAGTAGAATGGCCCTCCAGCCCTTACACAGCCTGGAGGTGTGTTGGGTCATTGAAAAAACAAATGATAGTCCCACTAAGCCCAAACCAGATGGGATGGCGTATCGCTGCAGAATACTGTGGTAGCCATGCTGGTTAAGTGTGCCTTGAATTCTAAATAAATCACAGACAGTGTCACCAGCAAAGCACCCCCACACCATAACACCTCCTCCTCCATGCTTTACGGTGGGAACTACACATGCAGAGATCATCCGTTCACCCACACCACGTCTCACAAAGACACAGCGGTTGGAACCAAAAATCTCAAAATTTGGACTCCAGACCAAAGGACAAATTTCCACCGGTCTAATGTCCATTGCTCGTGTTTCTTGGCCCAAGCAGGTCTCTTCTTCTTATTGGTGTCCTTTAGAAGTGGTTTCTTTGCAGCAATTCGACCATGGAGGCCTGATTCACACAGTCTCCTCTGAACAGTTGATGTTGAGATGTGTCTGTGACTTGAACTCTGTGAAGCATTTATTTGGCCTGCAATTTCTGAGGCTGGTAACTCTTAATGAACTTATCCTCTGCAGCAGAGGTAACTCTGGGTCTTCCTTTCCTGTGGCGGTCCTCATGAGAGCCAGTTTCATCATAGCGCTTGATGGTTTTTGCGACTGCACTTGAAGAAACTTTCAAAGTTCTTCAAATGTTCCGTATTGACTAACCTTCATGTCCTAAAGTAATGATGGACTGTCATTTCTCTTTGCTTATTTGAGCTGTTCTTGCCATAATATGGACTTGGTCTTTTACCAAATAGGGTTATCTTTTATATACCAACCCTACCTTGTCACAACACAACTGATTGGCTCAAACGCATTAAGAACGAAATAAATTCCACAAATTAACTTTTAACAAGGCACACCTGTTAATTGAAATGCATACATCCTTTTATTTTACCGTGCATTCGGAAAGTATTCAGACCCCTTGACTTTTTCCACATTTTGTTACGTTATAGCCTTATTCTAAAATGGATTAAATTATTTTTTTCCTCATCAATCTACACAATATTCCTTGATGACAAAGCGAAAACAGGTTTTAAAAAATAAAAAACTGAAATACCTTATTTACATAAGTATTCAGACCCTTTGCAATAAGACTCGAAATTGAGCTCAGGTGCATCCTGTTTCCATTGATCATCCTTGAGATGTTTCTACAACTGGATTGGAATCCACCTGTGGTAAATTAAATTGATTGGACATGATTTGGAAAGGCACATATGTCTATATAAGGTCCCACAGTTGACAGTGCATGTCAGAGCAAAAACCAAGCCATGAGGTCGAAGGAATTGTCCGTAGATCAACCGAGACAGGATTGTGTCAAGGCACAGATCTGGGGAAGGGTACCAAAACATTTCTGCAGCATTGAAGGTCCCCAAGAACACAGAGGCCTCCTTCATTCTTAAATGGAAGAAGTTTGGAACCACCAAGACTCTTCCTAGAGCTGGCCGCCCGACCAAACTGAGCAATGGGGGAGAAGGGCCTTGGTCAGGGAGGTGACCAAGAACCCGATGGTCACTCTGAATGAGCTCCAGAGTTCCTCTGTGGAGATGGGAGAATCTTCCAGAAGGACAACCATCTCTGCAGCACTCCACCAATCAGGCCTTTATGGTAGAGTGGCCAGACGGAAGCCACTCATTAAAAGGCACATGACAGCCCGCTTGGAGTTTGCCAAAAGACACCTAAAGGACTTAGATCATGAGAAGCAAGATTCTCTGGTCTGATGAAATCAAGATTGAACTATTTGGCCTGAATGCCAAGCGTCACATCTGGAGGAAACCTGGCACCATCTCTACGGTGAAGCATGTTAGTGGCAGCATCATACTGTGGGGATGTTTTTTAGCGGCATGGACTGGGAGACTAGTCAGGATCGAGGGAAAGATGAACGGAGCAAAGTACAGAGAGATCCTTGATGAAAACCTGCTCCAGAGTGCTCAGGACCTCAGACTGGGGCGAAGGTTCACCTTCCAACAGGACAAAGACCCTAAGCAAACAGCCAAGACAATGCCGGAGTGGCTTCGGCACAAGTCTCTGAATGTTGTTGAGTGGCCCAGCCAGAGCCCGGACTTGAACCCGATCTCTGGAGAGACCTGAAAATATCTGTGCAGAGACGCTCCCCATCCAACCTGACAGAGCTTGAGAGGATCAGAATAGAAGAATGGGAGAAACTCCCCAGATACAGGTGTGCCAAGCTTGTAGCGTCATACCCAAGAAGACTAGAGGCTGTAATCGCTGCCAAAGGTGCTTCAACAAAATACTGAGTAAAGGGTCTGAATACTTATGTCAATGTGATATTTCCGTTTTTACATTTGCTACAAATTCAAAAAACATTTTTATTTGCTTTGTCATTATGGGGTATTGTGTGTAGATTGATGAGGAAAAACAACAATTTAATCCATTTTAGAATAAGGCTGTAACGTAACAAAATGTGGGAAAAGTCAAGAGGTCTGAATACTTTCCGATTGCACTGTATATATATATAATCTGTACCTTACATTCATATGATAAAGCTGTAAGTACTCAGTAGAAAAAGAAGTATCCATATTTTTATTATATTTTTTTCTCCTCCAAGTCCTCCAATCAGGGTTGGTTATACACTTATTTTTTTTAAGTGATTAGAAATTATCCACAAAATGTTATCTAATAGTCCTATCTGCAAATGTTAATGCGGATCTATCCCAGAAAAATACAAAATACAGAGAAATAACTGTGAGATGAGACCAAAAATCCCAATAAAGGCACACTAGCCACGGCCTTTTAAAAGAGAAGAGTTCCTTCTTCAACATTTACATTTTAGTCATTTAGCAGACGCTCTTATCCAGAGCGACTTACAGTTAGTGAATACATATTATTTTTTTTATACTGGCCCCCCTTGGGATTTGGAACCCACAACCCTGGCGTTGCAAACGCCATGCTCTATCAACTGAGCTACATCCCTGCCGGCCATTCCCTCCCCTACCCTGGACGACGCTGGGCCAATTGTGCGCCGCCCATGAGTCTCCCGGTCGCGGCTGGCTGCGACAGAGCCTGGATGCGAACCAGGATCTCTAGTGGCACAGCTAGCACTGCGATGCAGTGCCTTAGACCACTGCGCCACTCAGGAGACTAGATATGCAGTAGTTGGGAGTAAGGGGTGTGATTACCTGGGGATGTTGTAGAGGGGTGACATCCTGAAGCAGGCCACAACAGCTTTGCGCCGTTGTTTAGAAAGCAGCTTGTGCCAAACCATCTTCTTAGACTTGTACGGGTGCTCCGTCTGGGGAGAGAGAGAGAGATTATCACTAGGGTCAATAGTTTCCCTGGACAGATGACATGGGTCATTCTATTGAAGAGATGGTGCTTTGGTTGTGTGAGGGTTGGGAGTGTGAGTGTGTTATGTGTGTGTGTGTGTATGTGTGTTTGTGTCTGTGTGAGTGTGTGGTGTGTGTGAGTGTGTGTTGTGTTGTGTGTGTGGTGTGTGTATGGTGGGGGTGTGTGGGGGGGTGGTGGTTGTGGGCGGGGGGGGGGTGGGTTGTTGGGGGGTCGGTGTGTGGTGGGTGTGTGTGTGGGTGTGTTGTGAGTGAGTGGGTGGTGAGTTTTGAGCTGTGGGGTGTTTTGTGTGTGGGTAGTTGTGTATGTGGTGTGAGTGTGTGTGAGGTGGAGTGTGTATGGTTTTGGGGGTTGGGGTGTGTGTGTGTTTGTGTGTTTGTGTGTGGTGTGTTTGGGTTTGAGGTGTGGGTGTTGTGGGTTATTAGTGTGTGGTTGTGTTAGTGTGGTGTGGGGGTGTGTGGGGTGTGGTGTGGGTGTGGGGGTGTTGGGTGTGTGGGTGTTGTGTGTGGGGTGGGGTGTGGTGTTAGTGTGGTGTGGGTTAGGTGTGTGATGTGTTGTGTTTTTAGGGGTGTGTGTTTGGTGTTGTGGTGTGTGTGTTGTGTGTGTGTGTGTGTGTGGTGTGTGGTGTGTGTGTGTGGTGTGTGTGTGTGTTGGGGTGTGTGTGTGTGTGTGTGTAAGAAAGTCTACACCTACTTCCAAAATGTAAATATTTTGTTGCCTTATAGCCTGGAATTAAAAAGACTCACAGCTGTAATGGCTGACAAAGGTGCTTCCACCCAGTATTTTTTATTAACTCAGAAGGGTGGAGACTTATCTAATTATGATATTTCAGTTCTGTATTTTTGATATTATTTATTTCACACCAAAAAAAAAAAAAAATCCCCTCAAAGTATGGTGCGGAAATAAGTGGGGGGAAAAATGCAGCGGCGGCCAGAGAGACCTGTGAGCGTGTGTGTGAATACAGTACTCACCACCTCTATGAGGACAGCTGAGACATGTGTCTGTGTGTGTGTCTGTGTGTCTGTGTGTCTGTGAGTCTGTGTCTGTGTCTGTGTGTCTGTGTGTCTGTGTGTGAATACAGCACTCACCACCTCTATGAGGACAGCTGAGACATGTGTCTGTGTGTGTGTCTGTGTGTCTGTGTGTCTGTGTGTCTGTGTGTCTGTCTGTGTGTGTGTGTGTCTGTGTGTGTGTCTGTGTGTGTGTCTGTGTGTGTGAATACAGCACTCACCACCTCTATGAGGACAGCTGAGACATGTGTCTGTGTGTGTGTCTGTGTGTCTGTCTGTCTGTCTGTCTGTCTGTCTGTCTGTCTGTGTGTGTGTGTGTGTGTGTGTGTGTGTGTGTGTGTGTGTGTGTGTCTGTGTGTGTGTGTGTGTGTGTGTGTGTGTGTGTGTGTGTGTGAATACAGTACTCACCACCTCTATGTGGTAGAGGACAGAGGAGACCTCCTGGACTCTCTTGACCACCTTCTCAGGGTCCTCAGCATCCTCAGCCTTCCCTGACGTCTCCTTATACAGCGCCATCTGCCAGCGCATTGACGGGTCCTCCACCTACACACAGCGGGCCATAGAGTCAACACACACACCACATGTACAGCACGCACACATACACACACAGTATAGACCAACAACACTGATATACTCATCTCATATACATATATATATATATATATATATATACATATATACACATACAGTGTCCACTTAGGAAGCAACACTGATTGACAATACATTTCACATGCTGTTGTGCAAATGGAATAGACAACAGGTGGAAATTATAGGCAATTAGCAAGACACCCCCAATAAAGGACTGGTTTTGCAGTTGGTGACCACAGACCACTTCTCAGTTCCTATGCTTCCTGGCTGATGTTTTGGTCACTTTTGAATGCTGGCGGTGCTTTCACTCTAGTGGTAGCATGAGACAGGGTCTACAACCCACACAAGTGGCTCAGGTAGTGCAGCTCATCCAGGATGGCACATCAATGCGAGCTGTGGCAAGAAGGTTTGCTGTGTCTGTCAGCGTAGTGTCCAGAGCATGGAGGCGCTACCAGGAGATAGGCCAGTACATCAGGAGACGTGGAGGAGGCCGTAGGAGGGCAACAGCCCAGCAGCAGGACTGCTACCTCCGCCTTTGTGCAAGGAGGAGCAGGAGGAGCACTGCCAGAGCCCTGCAAAATGACCTCCAGCAGGCCACAAATGTGCATGTGTCTGCTCAAACGGTTAGAAACAGACTCCATGAGGGTGGTATGAGGGCCCGACGTCCACAGGTGGGGGTTGTGCTTACAGCCCAACACCGTGCAGGACGTTTGGCATTTGCCAGAGAACACCAAGATTGGCAAATTCGCCACTGGCGCCCTGTGCTCTTCACAGATGAAAGCAGGTTCACACTGAGCACATGTGACAGACGTGACAGAGTCTGGAGACGCCGTGGAGAACGTTCTGCTGCCTGCAACATCCTCCAGCATGACCGGTTTGGCAGTGGGTCAGTCATGGTGTGGGGTGGTATTTCTTTGGGGGGGCCGCACAGCCCTCCATGTGCTCGCCAGAGGTAGCCTGACTGCCATTAGGTACCGAGATGAGATCCTCAGACCCCTTGTGAGACCATATGCTGGTGCGGTTGGCCCTGGGTTCCTCCTAATGCAAGACAATGCTAGACCTCATGTGGCTGGAGTGTGTCAGCAGTTCCTGCAAGAGGAAGGCATTGATGCTATGGACTGGCCCGCCCATTCCCCAGACCTGAATCCAATTGAGCACATCTGGGACATCATGTCTCGCTCCATCCACCAACGCCACGTTGCACCACAGACTGTCCAGGAGTTGGCGGATGCTTTAGTCCAGGTCTGGGGGGAGATCCCTCAGGAGACCATCCGCCACCTCATCAGGAGCATGCCCAGGCGTTGTAGGGAGGTCATACAGGCACGTGGAGGCCACACACACTACTGAGCCTCATTTTGACTTGTTTTAAGGACATTACATCAAAGTTGGATCAGCCTGTAGTGTGGTTTTCCACTTTAGTTTTGAGGGTGACTCCAAATCCAAACCTCCATGGGTTGATAAATTTGATTTTCATTGATAATTTTTGTGTGATTTTGTTGTCAGCACATTCAACTATGTGAAGAAAAAAGTATTTAATAAGATGATTTCATTCATTCAGATCTAGGATGTGTTATTTTAGTGTTCCCTTAATTTTTTTGAGCAGTGTATAATGTTTCCACCTCCATGTTTGATGGTGGGGATGGTGGGGATGGTGTTCTTGGGGTCATAGGCAGCATTCGTCCTCCTCCAAACACGGCGAGTTGAGTTGATGCCAAAGAGCTCGATTTTGGTCTCATCTGACCACAACACTTTCACCCAGTTCTTCTCTGAATCATTCAGATGTTTATTGGCAAACTTCAGACGGGCCTGTATATGTGCTTTCTTGAGCAGGGGGACCATTTTGTAGCCCATTCCAGCCTTGTGTAGGTCTACAATCTTGTCTCTGACATCCTTGGAGAGCTCTTTGGTCTCGGCCATGGTGGAGAGTTTGGAATCTGATTGATTGATTGCTTCTGTGGACAGGTGTCTTTTATACAGGTAACAAGCTGAGATTAGGAGCACTCCCTTTAAGAGTGTGCTCCTAATCTCAGCTCGTTACCTGTATAAAAGACACCTGGGAGCCAGAAATCTTTCTGATTGAGAGGGGTTCAAATACTTATTTCCCTCATTAAAATGCAAATCAATTTATAACATTTTTGACATGCATTTTTCTGGATTTTTTTGTTGTTATTATGTCTCTCACTGTTGAAATAAACCTACCATTAAAATTATAGACTGATAATTTCTTTGTCAGTGGGCAAACATACAAAATCAGCATGAGATGAAATACTTTTTTCCCTCACTGTATATATATACATATATGTATATATACATATATATACACACACACATATACATACATACATATATATATATATATATATAAACACATATATATATATATATATATATATATATATAATATATATATATTATACACCACACACACACAACACATATATAATACACACATATATATATACATATATATATACACATATATACACACATATATATACATATATACACACATATATATACATATATACATATATATACATACATATATACACATATATATATACACACACATATATAGGCAACGTATTGTTTGGCACAAAACCAAATCTAGGTGGAGGTGTGCTACTCACCTTGCCCTGCAGATGCATGTTGTTCTGTAGAAACTCTCTCACCTCCTCATCTGTGTCTTTCTGTTAGAGGAGGGAGAGCAGTGGACAGTCATTAGGTATCAAAGTTAAAAGCAAAAAATATTTCATCTCTGAGTGTGTGTGTGTGTTTGTCTCTGTGTGTGTGTGTGCGTACATGCATGTGTGTGTGTGTGTGAGCGTGTATGTGTGTGAGTCTTCCACTACCAGACTGTAGCGTATCTTGGCCAGGTTAATCAGTTCTTGGTCAGCAGGGGAACACATGTTAAGGCCAATAGGAAGCATCTTCTTCAGCGCCGCTACGATCAGCGATGTCTGCACCGAATAGCGGTCCCCCCTTCGCTTCTTCTTGGTACGCTCCACGTCAGAACCTCCAGCCTATAGGAGGAGAGAGTGGGGTCAGACCATACCATCTCTAGCCTATAGGAGGAGAGAGTGGGGTCAGACTGTACCATCTCTAGCCTATAGGAGGAGAGAGTGGGGTCTGACCATACCATCTCTAGCCTATAGGAGGAGAGAGTGGGGTCAGACTGTACCATCTCTAGCCTATAGGAGGAGAGAGTGGGGTCAGCCAATACCATGTCCGCCCACCCCTCTATGTCTCTATGTCTGATGTAGGTACTAGACAAGGTACACCGATATCCCCGTTTCTGATGTAGGTACTAGACAAGGTACACTGATATCCCCGTTTCTGATTTAGGTACTAGACAAGGTACACCGATATCCCCGTTTCTGATTTAGGTACTAGACAAGGTACACTGATATCCCCGTTTCTGATTTAGGTACTAGACAAGGTACACTGATATCCCCGTTTCTGATTTAGGTACTAGACAAGGCTGCTCTCTATGCCCATGTTAATTGTAGGAAGGTACTAGACAAGGCACCCCCATATCCCCATTTCTGTCTGATGTAGGTAGGTGCCCAAAAGGGAAATACATTGTTTCACAAAAATGAAAGCAAACTACATGGCTGCTATATGCTTTAATTATGGGTGGTTACAAAAATGAGAAAATGGGTGGGGAATTGGGGAATTGGGGAAATGTGAATGAACTGAACAAGGCTAAGAGAAGAAACAAAAAACAGCAACATGCTGGAATGGAAAAAAAGAGAAAAGCAATCATTAAACACACAATCTACAACTACTAGGGTTGCAAAATTCCAGTAACTTTTCCAAAATACCCCCCAGGCTTTCCAGCTTATTCCCTTCTCATTCCGGGAATCTTCCAACCAGAATTGTTGGAAAACCTGGGAATTTGGGGGGAATTTTGCAACCGTAAAACATATAATTGATTTTCTCTCCAAAGTGCAGCTTGTGCATGTAGGAAGCTGTTAGTGCTAACTATGTGTCTGTCCGCTGGAGAGCGGCTCTATCTAGTCAATGGAGAGCTGCTTTATCAAATCGATGGAGAGCTGCTCTATCTAGTCAATGGAGAGCTGCTCTATCTAGTCAATGGAGAGCTGCTCTATCTAGTCAATGGAGAGCTGCTCTATCTAGTCAATGGAGAGCTGCTCTATCTAGTCAATGGAGAGCGGCTCTATCTAGTCAATGGAGAGCGGCTCTATCTAGTCAATGGAGAGCGGCTCTATCTAGTCAATGGAGAGCTGCTCTATCTAGTCAATGGAGAGCTGCTCTATCTAGTCAATGGAGAGCTGCTCTATCTAGTCAATGGAGAGCTGCTCTATCTAGTCAATGGAGAGCTGCTCTATCTAGTCAATGGAGAGCTGCTCTATCTAGTCAATGGAGAGCTGCTCTATCTAGTCAATGGAGAGCTGCTCTATCTAGTCAATGGAGAGCTGCTCTATCTAGTCAATGGAGAGCGGCTCTATCTAGTCAATGGAGAGCTTCTCTATCTAGTCAATGGAGAGCTGCTCTATCTAGTCAATGGAGAGCGGCTCTATCTAGTCAATGGAGAGCTGCTCTATCTAGTCAATGGAGAGCTGCTCTATCTAGTCAATGGAGAGCTCCTCTATCTAGTCAATGGAGAGCTGCTCTATCAGTCAATGGAGAGCGGCTCTATCTAGTCAAAGGGAGAGCTGCTCTATCTAGTCAATGGAGAGCGGGCTTATCTAGTCAATGGAGAGCTGCTCTATCTAGTCAATGGAGAGCTGCTCTATTAGTCAATGGAGAGGGGGCTCTATCTAGTCAATGGAGAGCGGCTCTATCTAGTCAATGGAGAGCGGCTCTATCTAGTCATGGAGAGCGGTCTATCTACTCAATGGAGAGCTGCCTATCTAAATCAAGGAGAGCGGCTCTATCTAGTCAATGGAGAGCGGGTCTTATCTAGTCAATGGGAGAGCGGCTCTATCTAGTCAATGGAGAGCGGCTCTATCTAGTCAATGGAGAGCGGCTCTATCTATCAATGGAGAGCTGCTCTATCAAGTCAATGGAGAGCTGCTCATCTAGTCAATGGAGAGCTGCTCTACTAGTCATGGAGAGCTGCTTTATCAAATCAATGGAGAGCTGCTCTTTTCTAGTCACTATCTAGTCAATGGAGAGCTGCTCTATCTAGTCAATGGAGAGCTGCTCTATCTAGTCAATGGAGAGCTGCTCTATCTAGTCAATGGAGAGCTGCTCTATCTAGTCAATGGAGAGCGGCTCTATCTAGTCAATGGAGAGCGGCTCTATCTAGTCAATGGAGAGCTGCTCTATCAAGTCAATGGAGAGCTGCTCTATCAAGTCAATGGAGAGCGGCTCTATCTAGTCAATGGAGAGTGGCTCTATCTAGTCAATGGAGAGCTGCTCTATCTAGTCAATGGAGAGCTGCTCTATCTAGTCAATGGAGAGCTGCTCTATCTAGTCAATGGAGAGCGGCTCTATCTAGTCAATGGAGAGCTGCTCTATCAAGTCAATGGAGAGCTGCTCTATCAAGTCAATGGAGAGCGGCTCTATCTAGTCAATGGAGAGCGGCTCTATCTAGTCAATGGAGAGCTGCTTTAGCAAGTCAATGAAGAGCGGCTCTATCAAGTTAATGGAGAGCGGCTCTATCTAGTCAATGGAGAGCTGCTATATCTAGTCAATGGAGAGCAGCTCTATCTAGTCAATAGAGAGCTGCTCTATCTAGTCAATGGAGAGCGGCTCTATCTAGTCAATGGAGAGCGGCTCTATCTAGTCAATGGAGAGCGGCTCTATCTAGTCAATGGAGAGCTGCTCTATCTAGTCAATGGAGAGCGGCTCTATCTAGTCAATGGAGAGCTGCTCTACCTAGTCTATGGAGAGCTGCTCTATCTAGTCAATGGAGAGCGGCTCTATCTAGTCAATGGAGAGCGGCTCTATCTAGTCAATGGAGAGCGGCTCTATCTAGTCAATGGAGAGCTGCTCTATCTAGTCAATGGAGAGCTGCTCTATCTAGTCAATGGAGAGCTGCTCTATCTAGTCAATGGAGAGCTGCTCTATCTAGTCAATGGAGAGCTGCTCTATCTAGTCAATGGAGAGCTGCTCTATCTAGTCAATGGAGAGCTGCTCTATCTAGTCAATGGAGAGCTGCTCTATCTAGTCAATGGAGAGCTGCTCTATCTAGTCAATGGAGAGCGGCTCTATCTAGTCAATGGAGAGCTGCTCTATCTAGTCAATGGAGAGCGGCTCTATCTAGTCAATGGAGAGCGGCTCTATCTAGTCAATGGAGAGCGGCTCTATCTAGTCAATGGAGAGCTGCTCTATCTAGTCAATGGAGAGCTGCTCTATCTAGTCAATGGAGAGCTGCTCTATCTAGTCAATGGAGAGCTGCTCTATCTAGTCAATGGAGAGCTGCTCTATCTAGTCAATGGAGAGCGGCTCTATCTAGTCAATGGAGAGCGGCTCTATCTAGTCAATGGAGAGCGGCTCTATCTAGTCAATGGAGAGCTGCTCTATCTAGTCAATGGAGAGCGGCTATATCTAGTCAATGGAGAGCTGCTCTATCTAGTCAATGGAGAGCGGCTCTATCTAGTCAATGGAGAGCTGTGTTAGTAGTGCAGTCGGGTTCTGCTAGACCCAGCCCACCACTCCACACCAAGTATAGCAGCAGTCTTTGGGGTCAGCTCCATGACCCCTGATTTCGGACTTCTGACTCCTGAACCCTGCTCCCGTCCTGGACACACACCCTATCCCCAAGCTGCTCCCGTCCTGGACACACACCCTGTCCCCAAGCTGCTCCCGTCCTGGACACACACCCTGTCCCCAGCTGGCTCCGTCCTGGACACACACCCTGTCCCCAAGCTGCTCCCGTCCTGGACACACACCCTGTCCCCAAGCTGCTCCCGTCCTGGACACACACCCTGTCCCCAAGCTGCTCCCGTCCTGGACACACACCCTGTCCCCAAGCTGCTCCCGTCCTGGACACACACCCTGTCCCCAAGCTGCTTTCCCCTCCTGGAACCCACCCCGTCCCCAAGCTGCTCCCGTCCCGGACACACACCTTTCCCAAGCTGCTCCCGTCCTGGAAACACACCCTGTCCCCAAGCGGGTCCCCTCCCCGGAAAACACACCCTGTCCCCAAGCTGCTCCCCTCCTGACACACACCTGTCCCCAAGCTGCTCCCGTCCTGGACACCACCCGTCCCCAAGCTGCTCCCGTCCCCGGACCACACACCCCGTCCCCAAGTGCTCCCGTCCTGGAAAACACACCCTGTCCCCAAGCGTCCCGTCCCGGACACACACCCTGTCCCCAAGCTGCCTCCCGTCCTGGACCACACCTGTCCCCAAGCTGCTCCCCTCCTGGGCACACACCCTGTCCCCAAGCTGCTCCCGTCCTGGACACACACCCTGTCCCCAAGCTGCTAGTGTTCATTACTGACTGTTGTCTGGTCTCACAGCATCCGCCTCAGTGTGTGTGTGTGTGCATTGTACGTTTGTGTGTGTATATTCTATGTGTGTTGTATGTGTTTTTGTATGTGTGTGTGTTGATGTATTAGGTGTATGTGAGTGTGTTGATGTATTAGGTGTATGTGAATGTGTTGATGTATTAGGTGTATGTATGTAAGTGTGTTAATGTATTAGGTGTATGTGAATGTGTTGATGAATTAGGTGTATGTGAATGTGTTGATGTATTAGGTGTATGTATGTAAGTGTGTTGATGTATTAGGTGTATGTGAATGTGTTGATGAATTAGGTGTATGTGAATGTGTTGATGTATTAGGTGTATGTATGTAAGTGTGTTGATGTATTAGGTGTATGTGAATGTGTTGATGAATTAGGTGTATGTGAATGTGTGTCACACCCTGGCTCTGGGACTCTATTTGTTGAGCCAGGGTGTGTTTATTCTATGTGTTTATTTCTATGTTGGGGGTTCTAGTTTGTTGATTTCTATGTTTGCCTGAGTGACTCCCAATCAGAGGCAACGAGTGTCAGCTGTTGGCTGGTTGTCTCTGATTGGGAGCCATATTTAAACTGTCTGTTTTCCCTTTGTGTTTGTGGGTTTTTGTTCCGTGTTCGGTCATTGATACCGTTGGACGTCACGAGTCGTTTCTTGTTTGTATTGTGTTTAAACTTTAACTAATTAAAGTATGTTTGTTCATCACGCTGCGCATTGGTCTCTCCCTGACGATCGTGACAGAAAAACCCACCATGCAACGACCAAGCAGCGTGTCCAGGGGCAGCTCTTGGGCTGGACATGGGAGGAAGCGCCGGGAGAAGAGACGGTGGAGGCGCGCCGTAGAGAGGAGCAACAGCGTGATCAAGGTCGTCGTCGGGCGGTCGAGAGGCAACCCCAGAAAATTTTTAGGGGGGGGCACACGGCATGGACGACGGGGCTGACGGAGGCAAAAAAGGGGCGGATTCTGGAGGCCACCAGGTTACGGATACACCGCCCTGTACGTCCTGTGCGGATGCCTCACACAGAGTGTGTGAGGGTAGGCATTCAGCCAGGACGGGTTGTGGCCGCTCTTCACTCCAGGGCTCCTATCCGTCTCCACAGCCCGGTTTCGGCCTGTCCCTGCTCCACGCACCAAGCCTACGGTGTGCGTCGCCAGCCCAGTCCGGCCAGTCCCCTGCTCCACGCACCAAGCCTACGGTGTGCGTCGCCAGCCCGGTCCGGCCTGTCCCTGCTCCACGCACCAAGCCTACGGTGTGCGTCGCCAGCCCAGTCCGGCCAGTCCCTGCTCCACGCACCAAGCCTACGGTGTGTGTCGACAGCCCAGCCCGGCCTGTCCCTGCTCCACGCACCAAGTATACGGTGCGCGTCGCCAGCCCGGCCCGGCCTGTTCCTGCCACTCGCACCAAGTATACGGTACGCGTCGCCAGCCCGGCCCGGCCTGTTCCTGCCACTCGCACCAAGTCTACGGTGCGTGTCGCCAGCCCGGCCCGGCCTGTTCCTGCCACTCGCACCAAGCCAGGGGTGCGAGTCGTCAGCCTGGTAAGGCCCGTCCCTCCTCCACGCACCAAGCCAGGGGTGCGAGTCGTCAGCCTGGTAAGGCCCGTCCCTCCTCCACGCACCAAGCCAGGGGTGCGAGTCGTCAGCCTGGTAAGGCCCGTCCCTCCTCCACGCACCAAGCCAGGGGTGCGCGTCGTCAGCCTGGTAAGGCCCGTTCCTCCTCCACGCACCAAGCCAGGGGTGCGCGTCGTCAGTCCAGCACAACCCGTGCCTGGGTCACCGGTGCCTGGTAAGGTACCGGTCAACTGCTCCACGATGGAGCTGAAGCTAACCGCTCCTGCTAAGTCCAGTTCGGCTCCAGCCGGCGGGGCCAGACTGGACCAGGGGCGCTATGGGGGGTTTATTGGAGGGTGGTGGTCAAGGCCGGAGCCAGAACCGCCGCCGAGGAGGTATGCCCGCCCAGCCCTCCCCTGTTTTGTTTAGTTGAGGCGCGGTCGCAGTCCGCGCCTTTAGGGGGGGGTACTGTCACACCCTGGCTCTGGGACTCTATTTGTTGAGCCAGGGTGTGTTTATTCTATGTGTTTATTTCTATGTTGGGGGTTCTAGTTTGTTGATTTCTATGTTTGCCTGAGTGACTCCCAATCAGAGGCAACGAGTGTCAGCTGTTGGCTGGTTGTCTCTGATTGGGAGCCATATTTAAACTGTCTGTTTTCCCTTTGTGTTTGTGGGTTTTTGTTCCGTGTTCGGTCAATGATACCGTTGGACGTCACGAGTCGTTTCTTGTTTTGTATTGTGTTTAAACTTTAACTAATTAAAGTATGTTTGTTCATCACGCTGCGCATTGGTCTCTCCCTGACGATCGTGACAATGTGTTGATGTATTAGGTGTATGTGTTGATGTATTAGGTGTATGTGAATGTGTTGATGTATTAGGTGTATGTGAATGTGTTGATGTATTAGGTGTATGTGAATGTGTTGATGTATTAGGTGTATGTGAATGTGTTGATGTATTAGGTGTATGTGAATGTGTTGATGTATTAGGTGTATGTGAATGTGTTGTGATTAGGTGTCATGTGATGTGTTACTGTATTAGGTGTATGTAATGTGTTGATGTATTCGGTGTCTGTGAATGTGTTGATTTTCGGTGTATGTGCATGTGTTGCTGTATTCGTGTATGTGCATGTGTTTATGTCTTAGGTGTACTGTGATTTGTTGTTGTTTGGTGTCTTGCTTGTTGATGTATTTGGTGTTGTTTGCTTAAGTGTGTGTTGATATATTAGGTGGAGGGACATTCTATAGAGAATGAGGTGAGAGACAAGCTCTGTGTTGACCAGATAACAGTCCGCTGTAGCTCAGTTGGTAGAGCATGGCGCTTGCAACGCCAGGGTTGTTGGTTCGTTTCCCACGGGGGGCCAGTATGAAAAATGTATGCACTCACTAACTGTAAGTGGCTCTGGATAAGAGCGTCTGCTAAATGACTAAAATGTAAAATGTAAATAACAGAGGATCCTTCAGTAATGACCTTCTGACAGCTGAGGAGAGGAGGTTAGCTCACACCGGGAAATGGGATAGCAGGCCTTAAATATCCCTTACTGGTCGGCTAAATATTACACAACTTAACCTTATAACGCCTCTACATAATGTCATAAACATGTAGAGGTACATACATTATGCTATATATTTATTCTTCATTTATTTAGACAACTTTGTGGTTACAAAACTATGGAGTGGTACCAGGAAAAATCATTGTAAAGATTAGAACAGATGAGCCTTCTAAGGTGAGACAACCACTCTCCAATAGGTCTATACTTTAGGTTCATAAGGTATATAACTGGTCTATACTTTAGGTTCATAAGGTATATAACTGGTCTATACTTTAGGTTCATAAGGTATATAACTGGTCTATACTTTAGGTTCATAAGGTATATAACTGGTCTATACTTTAGGTTCATAAGGTATTATAGGTGAATTAGGAGAAAGTCACTATAATGAGTACATGTAATGGAGACTACAGATGTAAACTACAGTGACTACAAGAGCTGTGGGATTTAAAGGTATGGAATGATTGAGCAAAGAGAAGAGTGATTGTGAGTGCCCCGATTTGGGAACTTTATCGCCAAAGCTGTAAAAAAATATACAAAAATAACATCAACAATACAAAACAATATCCAAAACAAAAATAAACATCAACAAAACAAAACAATATCCAAAACCAAAATAAACATCAACAAAACAAAACAATATCCAAAACCAAAACAAACATCAACAACACAAAACAAACATCCAAAACCAAAACAAACATCAACAAAACAAAACAATATCCAAAACCAAAACAAACATAAACAACACAAAACAACATCCAAAACCAAAACAAACATCAACAAAACAACATCTAAAACCAAAACAAACATCAACAAAACAACATCTAAAACCAAAACAAACATCAACAAAACAACATCCAAAACCAAAACAAACATCAACAAAACAAAACAACATCCAAAACCAAAACAAACATCAACAAAGTAGAGTGAGCAACATTCCATCATCATTAGCCAATCAGGAACCATCTGAAGGCAAACTCATCAAAAATCCCCAAACCAAGGTAAGCTCATGGGACTGGGCTGCAGCAGTAGTTGATGTGCTATAGCCACTGCTGAGCCGAGTGCCATGAAACCCAGCACTTCAATTTACGGCAGAGAGCTTTCATCAAGCCCCTCCAGACCCCACGCTCACACACATAAGCTACACTCAGACACACACTCATTCCACAGCCTCCCTAGAACACTTTATTCTAAATGTCCATTTTTCAGTCTCTGCTGCCGAATGTGCACATCATGTCTATAGACTAGATGGATGTCATCAGTGTTGTACAGTTAGGGAATGCTTAATGGGTGCTGTAACGTGTGTATGTGTGTGTGTGGTTGGGCTATACGTGTGAAAGTCAGTGTGTATACGTGTGAAGACAGTGTGTGTGTGTGTGTGTGTGTGTGTGTGAAGACAGTGTGTATGTGTGTGAAGACAGTGTGTATATGTGTGAAGACAGTGTGTGTGTTTGTGTGTGTGTCTGTGTGTGTGTCTGTGTGTGAAGACAGTGTGTATGTGTGTGAAGACAGTGTGTATGAAGAAAGTGGGTGTGTGTGTGTCTGTGTGTCTGTGTCTGTGTGTGTGCATTTGTTTTCCGTGTGTGTGCATTTGTTTTCTGTGTGTGTGTGTGTGTGTGTCTGTGTGTGTGTCTGTGTGTGTGTGTGTGTGTGTGTGTGTGTGTGTGTGTGTTGTGTGTGTTGTCTGTCTGTTGTGTGTCTGTGTGTGTCTGTCTGTGTGTGTCTGTGTGTGTCTGTGTGTGTGTGTGTGGTGTGTGTGTGTGTGTGTGTGTGTGTGTGTGTGTGTGTGTGTGTGTGTCTGTGTGTGTGTGTGCATTTGTTTTCCGTGTGTGTGCATTTGTTTTCTGTGTGTGTGTGTGTGTGTGTGTGTGTGTCTGTGTGTGTCTGTGTGTGTCTGTCTGTGTGTGTCTGTGTGTGTCTGTGTGTGTGTGTGTGTGTGTGTGTGTGTGTGTGTGTGTGTGTGTGTGTGTGTGTGTGTGTCTGTGTGTCTGTGTGTGTGTGTGTGTCTGTGTGTGTGTCTGTGTGTGTGTGTGTCTGTGTGTGTGTGTGTGTGTGTGTGTGTGTGTGTGTGTGTCTGTGTGTGTCTGTCTGTGTGTGTCTGTGTGTGTCTGTGTGTGTGAGTGTGTGTGTCTGTGTGTGTGTGTGTGTGTGTGTGTGTGTGTGTGTCTGTGTGTGTGTGTCTGTGTGTGTGTGTGTGTGTGTGTGTGTGTGTGTGTGTGTGTGTGTGTGTGTGTGTGTGTGTGTGTGTGTGTGTGTGAGCATCAGGGTCTGTGTGTTTCTGCTCTATAGCTGCGCACTAGGAGAGCTTGATGAAGAGCCTCCCAACACTCAGGGTGCCATGCGGTCAGGCCAGCACAGCGGTCACATTACGGTCAGCGTGCACAAACACAGTCTAACCTCGTCCCCTCCGGCCTAGTGGCCCCGCGTCCACAGAGACACACAAAACAGAGAAAGAACAGCGTTAACATCCTACAGATCACCTCTGACCTCCTACCTCTGACCTCCTGTATTCACAAAGCACCTCAGAGTGCTGATCTGGGATCAGGTCTCGTTCATTATAATCTGATCCTAGTTCAGACTGCTGAGTTCAAACCTTTGACCTGTCGTCACCAAGGTCTCCTAACTCCGCCTCCTCAGGCCTCTCCAGACCAGGAAGTGGATATGTTATAGAAGATATGTTATCAAAAGATATGTTATAGAAGATTTCTTATGTCTTTCATCTATGGATGAAACCTACAGTGCCTTCAGAAAGTATTCATACCCCTTGACTTGTGTTACAGCCTGAATTCAAAATGGACTAAATAAAAATAATTCTCTCACCCATCTACCCACAATACCCCATAATGACCAAGAGAAAACAGGTTTTAGAAATGTTTGCAAATGTAGCAATATCTCATTTACATGAGCTGTGATTCTTTCTGGGTAAGTATCTAAGAGCTTTGCAAACCTGTATCTTACTATATCTGCACATTATTCTTTTAAAAAAATTATTCAAGCTCTGTCAAGTTGGTTGTTGATCATTGCTAGACAGACATTTTCATGTCTTGCCGTAGATGTTCAAGCTGATTTAAGTCAAATCTTAGGCACCTCCTCACTCAAAGTCTGAACTAATCATCATCCTATTGGTGTCACCTGTGTCTACCTGTTCACCTGTGTCTACCTGTTCACCTGTGTCTACCTGTTCACCTGTGTATTTATGCCCTCACTTCCCTGTGTTCCCTTGCTCAGTTTTCTCTGCTAGTTTCTCTATGTCCAGCAGTACTACTCAGTGTCTGATCGGAGACCTATGAACAGGTACTTAAAGAAGTGTTCTCCCTGTTTCATTGTTGTTTTCAGTCGTAGTTAGTATTTCTTATGTTTGCTGTCAGCCTGTTTTTGGAGACCAATTTGCCCCTCCTTTATTTTATCCGTTGTTTTGTATCCTGGTTTTGGGACCACCAGTAAAGATCCTTGTTTCACCATCTCTGCCTACTGCCTACTGTCTATCCTGCACCGGCTGTAAAAAGTCAAGGGGTGCGAAATACTTTCTGAAGGCACAGTTTCTATGTCTTCTGACCAAGCAAGCCTTAGGACTAGAGGCATTGGTATATTATAAACTGCAATGGTTTTTTCCATTAACATGAATGAAGTAAACCATATTAGATCCTAATAACATGTG